CTAATGATATTAATGGATTCAAAATCTTTATTAGGAATAATCACACCCATAAGAGAAGCTCGAGAATAATATCCTTGCAGAAAGCGCAAAGAAAGAATTAGAAGACTGAGATGGGATAGTCACTTCCAGATTCCTTCTCCTTGAGAGTTCAGAGGCCATTTCTTGAACCCCTCATCATTTTAGCAGCAACATTGTGTCCACCAACGTTACCAGGTTCAGTAACCCAATCAGATTCCCCTGGAGCATCATCAAGAGGAGTACTACTAGAAGGTTCAGCAGTATACACCTTACCTTTGCTCGTAACACCATCAAAAGAACTACAAACTTCAGTAACCGCATGAAGAGTCTGCCATTCAGTGTAGCTTAGATGCACTTTTGGTGGGTCCCAAGTTTAGGTTCACCTCATCAGCAATTCACACAAGAAACCATGCATTTTTAGGGGGGAGGGAACTTTTCTATACAACATTTTCATGCATTTTATGGCATAAATGAGTAGCGGGAGCAGATACATAGGTTCCACATCTGCATTAGCCAGAGATTGTAGCTTGTCTGGCAGCGCAGGGTCCATATGTCTCACAGGAAGAGCGGCACAAATCCCCACCATTATCTTGTCACCAATACCACAACTCCACTGGAATAAAACGCCACATTTGGCAACATTCTCTCTCGACATTTTCTCAATCAGAAGTTCATCCTCTCCACTGGCACAATCTTCAAAAGAAACCTCATCAACTATAGATAGAGGATTAATACATATCTGCATCCCTCTCACATTAACAGATTGAGAGCCCCCAATCATAGAACAATTAGCAGCAAAACTAGCAGGTGGAGTATTAGAATTCTCAGTTCTCATCCTTTTAGCAGAAGAATTCCTCTCTGACCAGTGGATATAGCCACTTTCTCTTTGTTAGGAGGTCCCACCACAATCTTCTCCACATAAAGAAGAAAACATAAAAATTATCACCTAAAAGCCCCTCAGCAGAAGGAGCAATCTTCTCCACATTAACACAACCCAGAAGAATTCAAGCATATTCAAGTTTGAACATTGTGGCATTATCTATTTCCAAGGTGACCCCACTAAAGAACCAACTTATGCAATGTTAGCAGGGCATCTTTTAGCAATTGGTATGTTTCTAACCCTAACCCATGCTTTCTGTAATGGAGCTTTAGCTCCCACGTTAGGAGTCCTGGGAGACAAATTCAGCACAACGCTACCATCCATCATTTCCATGTGTTTTCCATAGTAACTAGACTTCTCAACCTCGGAGTGATGAGCAAATCTAATAATGTACCAAGCAGGACTAATAGCACGAGCAGTACACCTCAGGTAGTATGAAAGAACCCATTGAACTCATCTTTAAGATTTTTAGCAGTAGTTTCCCCCTCCAACACAATAATAACCACATCGCTAGCATGTTCCTTAGACTGATTACCTCCCAACTAGCATGAGGAAAATAAAATAAAAACCTTGACGAGAACAACACGAGGATTGGACAATTTGGTGCCGTTAAGCACCTCGTGGATGTTGAGACGTGTGCAACTCGTATCATTTAATTGGACTTGTGTCAATCCTGTTATGTAATCGGCCTATGTCGAGAAATTTTGATTTCTTGATGATTTTCTCTTCACGTCAATACAAAAAAAACTGCGCCCGCATGGGCGACACGGGAGGTAACTCCGAACCTATTCGTCGGTCCTCTCCTCCCCTCCCCCCTTGTCGTTGCATGGTCGACGACAGCAACGGGTTCCTGCTCGTGGTTGTGTGGTGACCCCCCCCTCCTTTGAACGGGTTGTGTAGTTGTGGCGCTGGTGGCAAGTCCTATTGGTCGTCGGTGGCGCGGGGAGCTTTTGATGGCAGACACAGTCGATGGGGGCAAGGGGCACCCCAAGAATCGGCAGCGGACCTCTTGGACTTGTCATCGTCAAAGTCTGGAGGCCCTAGATCGAGCTCCCTAGTGGCCCAGGTCACCAACGGTGTCACTTGGGCGGGCTATTGGCGCTCTGCCAGTGGCCTGTCCATGCCCCATCCGGGCTCCCCCTTTGCTCATGGGTGGGTGTCGGTGCGGCCCTACCATAGCCCTGCTCCGTCTGTGTTGTAGTGCTCATGTTAGGGGTGGAAGGAGAGGCCTACTGCCCATCCTGATTGATGGTGTCATTCTCTGATGACAGTCTCACTTTATAAATAAAGTCACCCGATCCAACGATACAATGTCATATCAAGGGCTGTCAAATTCCCACAAGCAACTCCCAACACATGCTAAATGTGTGACTGATAGAGGCAAAGGTGTCCCGTCTTTCGATGAGATGATGGATTTCGCTTTGGTGGAAGTCGACTTTGACGATCCGACTACGAACGTGCGAGGATGTCGCGCCTTAGCAATCGCTAAACCAACTCCGAGAGGTTATTGACCACGCCGGAGCACGATCAACCTGACCACGAGGGTCTGTTTCCTGCGAGCAAACGAAGAATAAGCAAGAAACTGAGATTGCAATCTGTATATTGCAAATATAAGATGAAAGCTTTATTGATTAAGGTGGGGTTCTGTGACGCCTTTGTCTGGTCGTTGAACACAAACGAAGTACGCGAAGTTGCAGCTATGGCGAATTTTAATCTAAACAAAACCCAAAGTCTAAACGGTGCCCTAATGGCTGTATATATGGAGGAAGAGAGGGGGAATTTCGTGGCCCTTGGTGGAGGGGTCTGAAATCAACCCTATCTCTTGTTTCCCCACATACGGGAATATCCTATTTGCCGATCGTTGCGTCAAACTGCCGGCGCTTCGCACAGGCGAGCGACCGAGCAGCGACGCAACTGGCCGGCCCGTTTAACCGTTCCTGCACTCCCGGTTTTGGGAACCTTCTAGAGGTTCCCAGCTAGGTTTTTTCCGGTTTTGGGAACCTTCTAGAAGGTTCCTGAACCGGTTTTTTATTTTCCTTTCTTTTTCTATTTCTGTTTATTTTTATTTTTATTTTCTTTTTTTGTTTTTCAAGTTTATGTTTTCTCTCTCAAAATATGTTCATGCTTTTATAAAAATGTTCAAAATTTGAAAAATGTTCGTGTTTTCAAATTTTGTTCATAAACTCAAAAAATGTTCGGAATTTTCAAAAAATATTTCCTGTTAACAAAATTGTTCAGAATGTTTTTGCTCAAAATTTTGACAACTTTTAAAAAAATGTTCGTGATTTCAAAAATGTTTCCGTTTCAAAAATTGTTTGCAACTTTCCAAAAATGTTCATGAATTTCTGAACATATTTGTTTTATATTTTCTTCACGTATTCAACTTTTGTTCACGTATTCAAAAAATGTTCAATTTTCAAATTTGTTTGGAATTTTTAAAATTGTTTTTCGTTTCTAACTTTGGTCTAAAAATGTTCTTGTTTCCTTTTCGGTTTCTTTTTTCGTTTCTTTTTTATTTTTCAATTTTTTTGAAAAAAGTTCATGTTTCAAAAATTGTTCGTAACCTTAAAAAATTGTTCCTACTTTAAAAAACCTTCATTTTTAAAAAAAATGGCCGCATTTTCCAAAATTGTTCATAAATTCAAAGAATGTTCGTATTTTAAACAAAATGTTGTGGGATTTAAAAAATGTTCCCTTTCTAAAAAATGTTCCCTTTTAAAAAATGTTTGTATTTGCCTTTTTTTGGTTTTCTTTTCTATTTGGAATTTTCAATAACTGTGTTCACTAATTTGAAAAGAAATCTTGTTTTTGAAAATTTGTTCGCAAACTCAAAATATGTTCGAGGAATTTGAAAAAATGTTCTCATTTCTAAATTTTGCTTCATAAATTTGAAAATGTTTTGTAATTTCAAAAAAAGTTCCAGCCTTTTCAATTCTGCTCTCATACTCAAAAAATGTTCATGTTTTCTGAATTTTCTGAAAAAAAATGTATTTTGAACAAATTATTCATAATTTCGAAAAAAAATTGTTCATGATTTCAAAAAAATGTCCCTGATTTTTCGAAAATGTCATAGTTTTTCGGAAAATTGTTCCAAATTTGGAAAGTGTTTGTGTTTGCCAGAACATTCCATTTTTTGAAAAAAGAAACTACTTTTGAAATTTCTAAAGTAATTCGGATCTGCAAAGCGTGTCTAGTTCTTTATGTTTGATGCTAAGTTATGAGCACATACGAGTGCGAGGTGAGCTGGTAGGAACACATCATCTAGATCTCTCGATCCTGTGTTCAAATCCCCGTATCACAGTATTTTTTGAGCAATGGTCGTTCATCTTGATCGTCATCTTCATGGGCCGGCCCAGTCGGGGACGCTCCTGTGCGAAGCCGCAGCAACTTGACGCAGAGAGCGTCACATAGGAGTTCCCCCACATACGGACTTTAAAAATAGCCTATACTAATGTATTTCGAAATTACATGGGTCTGGTCCAATAAAAAGGTGACGCAACACCTATAATAGCCTCTGGACGAAATTTATGAAGTGGCATCTTGTATATTTCGTCCAAGGCTTCATGCACTCGTTATGGTGGCTTCAAAGACCTGAAATCATCACTCGTAACTCCGTTCTTGTTCCCCTTGCGCATGCCATCATCTCCATGTTTTTTCTTGCTCCAATGTTCATCCTTCTCCAAGTTAGGCCCTTCATTTGTAAGCAAAACAAATGTATCCAATTTAGGCAGCATCATATTCTCATGAACATTAGAATCATTACTAAGAAACGAAAGTACCTGGTAATTTAGTTGATGCGTGAGCTCTAGTAATTAGTTCAGTATGTATAGCAGCAGGGGCTGTGTGTAACAATGGTATTGATGTCCTCATCAGTGACGGGGACTGATACTAGTTTACTTCTCAGTTCTTTTCTCTCAACAATTTCCTCCTGTAACTCCCATTCTGTTTCCCTCGAACTGCAAAACCCGCTTGTACACGGCGGGCTCCGGCGAGACGGCGACTGCTGGCCGACGTCGAGCGTGCGCTCCTCTTCGACTGCAAGGCGGCGCAGCTGAACTCAGCTTCCTCGCCGCGAAGGGTCGCAACCCATCTAGCGCGCGTGATGCCTTCTTCCTCCTCGTTCGCATCGGCGAAGGCGGAGGCGAGGAACTGGGCGGAGCTGCCGTTGGACGCGATCTCATCCATCCTCCATAAGCTCGACCACGTCGACATCCTGATGGGGCCCGGCCAAGCGTGCCGCTCCTGGCACGTCGCCGCCCGCGACGAGCCTGAGCTGTGGCGCCGCATCAGCATGCTTGGCCACGCCGATCTCTCCCGCAACCTCAACCTCCACGGGATGGCGCAGGCCGCCGTCCGCCGCAGCGCGGGGAGGTGTGAGGCGTTCTGGTGCGAGCACGCCGGCGGCCACGACTTCCTCCTCCGCCTCGCCGACCAGTGAGACCCCCCTAACCATCAATTTTAGGGGATTTCGTTTTGATTTGTTTCGCTTTCGCATTGGCTACACGTTATGTTTCTGTTCCAATTCCTTGATTTGTTTTGATTTTGTTTATTCACTGCGGAAAAGTTCTGTAGGCTTTTTGTTTGTGGGAATCATGCAATTTTGCTGAGCAATTGGTAGAAAGTACTGAGGAGAACAGCTTACAAAGACCACGAACGCAATCAAACAACAAATACGAAGTGCTGAGTCTAAACTAACAATAGAATTGGTCGTTTTCTTTAAATTTATGTACATTTCAGCAAGGGCAGTGACTGTTCTTAGTTTGATAAAGACAAAGTGCGCTAGAGAAAACTTATCCCTATGCAACGCATGCTCCGTACACTTTGTAAACTTACTACCTTCAGGTTCTCTGCAGCAATAGGAGGGATGACCCCTTTAAATTATGTATGTACCAATGTCCTATGATGCTACACAGTTATCTGAATTTATGAAATGTTCTATTCGGGCTATGCAAGTCTGCCAAAACATACATTCTAGCTACCTATTTTTTATTCAGTGTGCTTATGTCTTTTCTATAATACTTTTGTTGGGTATTAAGATCCAAGTGCTATATTTGCAGAGCACCATCTCTCAAGAGTCTTCGCCTCATTTCATGCTATAAATTTAGTGATGAAGCACTTATGGAGGCGATAGTGAAATTCCCTTTGCTTGAGGAGCTCGAGCTTGCATTGTGTTCAAATGTGGGTGAGAGTGGCGTGTTGGGGGTTGTTGGCAAAGCATGCCCACAACTGAAGAGCTTCAGACTGATTAAGGATGTGTTGTATGATTCTGAAGCTAGTGACTACGACAAGGATGATGAAGCCATGGGGATTGCAACCATGCGTGGGCTACGCTCTTTGCAGCTGTTTGGCAATGGCCTGACAAATAAAGGACTGACAACTATCCTGGATAATTGCTGCCACCTGGAGTTCCTTGACATTCGTCACTGCTTTAACGTCTACATGGACAACACCCTGCGCACAAAGTGTGCTAGGATAAGCACACTTTGGCTTATCCTGCCAAAATTGGGTGATGTCAGCATGAGAGAGCAATTTATTCGCCCACAAGCATCTGATAGGGGATTTCCCAGAATAATATCTTCCTCATCCATGGATTCTCGGGGTGATCTTTCTACCATTGAGAATCAGGTGTGCAAGCTAATCGATGATTTGAGAAGCGATTCCATAGAATGTCAAAGATCAGCGACATCAGAGATTCGCCTTCTAGCTAAGCACAACATGGAGAATAGGATTGTCATTGCAGATTGTGGGGCTATAAACTTGCTGGTTGGTCTTCTTCATTCACCGGATGCCAAGATCCAAGAAAATGCAGTGACATCCCTCCTCAATCTGTCCATGAGTGATAACAATAAGATTGCCATCGTGAATGCATATGCTATTGATCCTCTCATCCATGTCCTGGAAACAGGGAACCCTGAAGCTAAAGAGAATTCAGCAGCTACTTTGTTCAGTCTCTGTATTACTGAAGAAAACAAAGTGAGGGTTGGACAATCCGGTGCCATCAAGTCTCTCATGGACTTGCTGCGAAATGGGACCCCGTGAGGAAAAAGAGATGCAGCCCATGCACTATTTAATTTATCCATACTTGATGAGAACAAGGGTCGCATTGTGCAAGCTGATGCGGTGAAGCACCTAGTTAAGCTTATGGATCCTGCTGCTGGAATGGTCGACAAAGCTGTAGCTGTCTTGGCAAATCTTGCTATGATAGCAGAAGGGAGGACTGCGATTGGGCAGGCGCGTGGTATTCCAGCCCTTGTTGATGTTGTCGAACTGGGTTCGGCGAGGGGGAAGGAAAATGCTGTTGCGGCATTGCTTCAGCTATGCAAAAACAGCAACAAATCTTGCAGCATAGTTCTTCAAGAGGGTGCTTTGCCCCCTTTAGTCACACTGTCACGGTCAGGAACACCGCGAGCAAGAGAGAAGGTTTTCCACTTCCGATAACAAAATTTACAGCTAGAAGAAATGTGGTTGCAGAATCATTTCGCTAAGAATTTGAATTTGCTGCAGGCGCAGGCTCTTCTCAGCTACTTCCACAGCCAGAGACGTGGGAACTCAGGAAGAGGATGATAATGATAGTCTTACGATATGCATCAATCATTTCCCCGGACTTCTCAAATAGCAGGTATTGTTGCTGACTGGCGTTGTGTACTATTTTATAGCCAGATTGAGATTGGGCTCATCATGGCATGCTACTTGTTGGGTGGGGGTGTTTGTTGTCGTCATTGTAGTTGAGACGGTATATTTGTCGATTTTATATATTTTTTACAACTTGCTCATTGATATCTGTTTCGCCAAGATTTTGTGCTGTCAACTGATCCAAACTGTGATGTTTTATCTTCTCTGTTTAGAGATGGATACTAGTTGTGCCTGATCCTGTAGGCTAGCAGTGTTCCATTGGTGCTCACTGATGATAGAACATAAATTGTTGCTAGCTCTAGGAGCGAACCTAGCCCAACTCTACAAGGTGGATTTTGTAATGCGTTCATACTTAGCAAATTGGCACCATGCAGTTCACTAGTTTACCACATTCTGCAAAATCAATTTGCTCCAAGGAAGTTCCTTCTTTGTGATTGCGCCAACTGTTTTTTTTCCTAAGAGTAAAGGAAAATAAGTGATATGTTCTCGTGTCGCTGGTATATATCATCTGATGCTGGAGACAGACCGAACGATGCAACCACGTGTTTGGCTGGCTGCAAGAGTGATGGACCCAGGGAACAATGTGTCATGTGTTGTATATTAAGAGGATTTTGATTCGCAATATCCGGTGGTGCTGTAAGTTTTTGGGGGGAAAATGTACAGTTTACCATCCATGCAAGAACAACAAATTCGGAGCAATATGGTTTATGTTAGCACATGTATTTTCTACAAAGCACTTGGAAAACATTGAAGGAGATCAGGAAGGAAGATAAATCAACAACTCAGTCAGATGGACAAGAAAGTAGTAAAATATCTCACATGGTGCATGATACTATGTGTTAAAGTCACCAGTAATGAATGGCGCACCAACCCTGAGCATGATACTGTATATATATGGCAGCACAAGCGCCATTGTTCATTCAAGACAATACTCGCCAAACTTTGACACCATGTAAATTCTCTAGACTGGCATGAGCGTGTGTAGGTCCGTACCAAAAACAAAAACGAGTGAGAAGCACATAGAACTGTGAGGCGTTGGGAAAAACTCACATGGCTGCAAGTGATTTCGCCGAGCTGAAGCGCCCTGATCTTCGGGAGAGTGCGCAAGAAGATGTATGGCATGTGATTATCTATCCACGCACCGTCCAGATGGGACGGCTTTCCGAGTTAGTTCAGGCAGAGGGAGGACGTATCCTGTGCAACGAGACAACTGGTGCACCCAGTACACCGAGTGATTCTGGGCCACTGGATGGGGAAAAGATGGACCAGATGTTATCATAAGCTGGCCGCTGGTACATTTTACACAATGGACCTTGTCGAGTCACCGAAGTGCACAAAAGTCCTTTCGAAATTCCATATTCTCCTTTTATTTTGCTCTGTCCCGTTCTGTACCTATCTCTCTGAGACCCCCTCTCCGTGCCAGGCGATCTATGACGGCATGAGCTCTCTTCAGCACAACTCCCACCCCGATGGCTGCAATCCATCTTCCCTCTATCTCCACAACCTATCCCTCTCCGCGACGGTGGTGGCTATAGCTCGGCACGACCAACACACACTCCTGGTTTGGCACCGCCGCAGCCGTTGCAGGCTCAGATTCAACGCCGCCGCAAATTCCTGACAACCTGAGTTGCTTTCTTATTCAGATCGTGCATTACATATTTATTCCGTAGGAGCAGCGAAAAAAGAGCTAAGAATATTCTCCTAATTACTCATTACGGTGGATATCATTGAACTTTTGGTATATATGAGCCTTCCCATATTGATGTGTGTGCATTCGCTATGTCCAAAATAGAAATCAGACTATAGTTGGTATTATTGTCTTTGTCATGCTCTTTTCAGATTCTACTTGGGTCTTCTATTGTGAATTTTGTGCTGAATTAAGCAACCAAGAAAATAAGTGTAGTTTCTAACCTTGTGCACCGAAGCCATGACAATTGAATAAACGGTATGCGATAAATATACTGGTGGAAGCATGATTTTGCGTTGGAACAGAGAAGAAAAATCTACACATCATTGGAGAAAACCAGTCTTGAACTTCAATCAGGCAGACCAAAAACTATATTATACATATAAATGGAGAGAACCAGTCTCTATCCAGCTCCTCGGTTTTTCCTGCAGCAGAACATAATTTCCGGAGCTTCACAAACACTAACCTTATTCAACAGTCTTGCAGGTTTAACACTATAACATTGTTACCCAGATCCACTTGAACCATGATAAAATAGAAAATCGTTCTACACATTTGGCATCGCGAACTAACTTCTTACACACATTGCTGACCCTTTTTACTGGAAGCGTCCAAGTGCATAAATGACAACAGAAGTACATTAGACTTGCACAGATTTGTTTCCTTTGTGCACCAGGTTTACACAAAAGGAATCGAAAAATCAACTTAGCAGCGGTGACTAGTGGATATACTTCACGGGGAGAGCATTTCCGGTGATAGAGTACAAATCAATCATCAGTCCAACCTTTTTTCATGGGTGGAGAGCAGGCGTGCGCGCCACCAGCAGTATTGCGCGCCACCAGCAAAAAAACCTTTTTTTGTGGGATAACCAAAAGCCTAATCAGCCACAAAGGAAAAAACACTTGGAAAACATTGAGGAGGATCAGGAAAGAAGATGGACAATAAAATAGTAAGATCTCACATATGTGCAGGATATGTGCTTAAGTAGTCGGTAATGAATGGCACGCCAACCCTCAGCCAATGTTGGGGTCCCTCCTCCTGCATATATATACAGAGTAGAAGGCAGCACAAGCGCCATCATTCATTTGCGACCGGACACCACTCGTCAAACTTTAACGTCATGTGCAACTCTGTACATTGGCATGAGCATATGTAGGTCGATATATACCAAAAACCAAAAAAACTACCGAAAAACACATAGAATTAGGAGGCATCGGGAAAAAATCACATGCCGACGGGTGACTTCACGGAGCTAGACTGCTTGAAACCTTGAGAAAGTTTATCAAAAGATGTATTGCACGCAATTATCCACCCACATGCGGTCTCGGTGGAACGACTTAGCAAGCAATTTAGGTCGAGGGGCACACTAGTCTGTTACGATCCTCCTAGCAACAGGCCGCTACTAATACTATACTCAACCAAGACACTTAGAAACGCACCCCACTACTAACGTAGGACCCAGTCGTCTTTGGAGTACTTCGTGGACGGGGCTGGGGGTCGAGCTGTGACTTGCCGGTACCACCAGCCAGGTCACTAACAGTAGCTTTAGTCTGAATGCTGCTCTGTACTTCTGCTGGTTTAGTTTCGACGATAGTAGCTTCAGTCTGAATATTGTCTTGCAATTGCGTTGGTTCAGTTTCAACAGTTTGCTTCAGCTTACGTTGTTCTGCTTCTGCATGTTTGACCGTGACATGCGCTCGACGCTTCTCCCAACGACGCTGGATTCAGGGCGTGACATAGGCGTTGTCATGCACTCAGCTAGTGGGAAAAATGATTCCAGGGAGAAGCTAAAGGATCTAAGAAGTAATTCCAAGTTGTCGTTACTGGACGATTAAGAAGAACGATTCAATTTGTTGTCATGTACTTGTAAGCTTTGAGGTTGATGTTGCTTCATTTAGTCTGTAGGAATCAGAACTGAGAAGTTTGCTCGATCTACCCTATTTCCTTCTGAGTGAGGGGTGAGTGTATCAAGATTTTCTTAACAAGCCTCCAGCGTACACAAATAAACAAAGACGAAACAAATATTGTATGGGAACTCGCACTCTCCTATTATCAGGCGCCGCTTCCATAGCTAATCAGGCATTCAGCACCCGAAGCCAAAAAAACCAAGGTCCTTCAGAAGAGAAGTCTAGGGCACATATCCTGCCTTTCTGATATCCAGCTCTAACCCCCGCCAGTGTCCAAAGACACGATCATGTGCCGTCATCCTCAGTTCTATGGACATCCACCTCAGAGCCACTTGTTTGTCAAGGATGCACACTACCACCTCAAGCTGACCTCTTACTCTTTAGACTGCTAAATGAGCGTGGGTGCATGACCCAAAATGCCAAGAAGCTTCTTTAGGCCTTGTTCGGTTGCTGGGGGTTTGTTCCCCACATGGAACCAACCCCTGCAGGGATTGGGTTAATCCCTACCGTCACCCAACCCCCACCAGCCCCTTCCTCGCCATTCCACTGCGGCTTGAACTCTGTTCGGTTATGCACATGAAAACAGATCAAGCAGGCAAGGACCCGTATGAATTTCCAAGGACCACAGCAAGACGTAGAAATTAAGAAAGGGGAGGAGAGGGGAACGGAGACGAGGAAGATCTTACCAGCGACTGGGAGTTCGCGGCAAGGAGGCAACGCCGGAGATGGGGTCCTTACAGTCACCGCCGAGCTCGCGCCGTCGCTGCAGTTCACCTTCGGGTCGCCGGCGAGCTGCGGTTGGATGCGGTGCTTCACACGGGGAGGCGGAGGGAGAAGAACGCGGCCGTCGTCTTCAATGTCGCCATCGCCGCTGATGTCCCTCCGTCCTCGCCGTCGTCGCCGCCGTCGCACGAGAATAGGTGTCTGGCTGTAATGTTTCGCAAGAGAGAGAGACGGGGGTTGGTTCCACGGGGTGGGAGGAGTGGCTTTTATCCCGGTGGAATCCGCGTGGTTTTTGAGAGGTTACACCGGGGAGCGATCCCTGCCGTGTTTAACCAAACGCACATAAAAGATCGACCGGGATCGGACCCCCGTCGGGGCGAAACCACGTGGTTCTGCAGGAATTTGAGCCCAATCCCGGCGCGGTGGGGTCTAACCGAACAAAGCCTTAAGGGTTGTCATGTGGAAGCATCTTTTTCAAGAACATGCAA